ATACTCTTTTACCAATGAATAGTGGGATTGACCGTCACATTATAACGCCCCCACGGCTGAAAGGGCAAGCATGTTTGGTGGGACGGGGATTCGAACCCGTGACCCTCAGATTGCGAGTCGAGCGCCCTAGCCACCTGGCCATCGTTAAATTGGACCAGTTATAAGAGTGACAATGATTCCTATTATTCGGTTCAGAAAGCCGGACAACGCCGTTGCGTCGACAGTGCTGGTCCTTCCCTGTGGTTACTGGTTCAAAATTAGAGCCGGCTATACCTGAACCTTATAGAGTCCTTGCCAATGACGTAACTACAAAAGATGCCCCTCTACCCGCATAAACAAGACGCTGTTCAGGTCGAAAATTCAAATTCAAATGATTTCACCTTCCTCTTTTTGGGTCAGTTCTTTGCATTGAGTGTTGTATCGGACAAAAACATAACTTTACTGAATATAATATAGTATGTGGATTCCAGCGATGTAATGAACGTTATGTAAGTAAGCTGATGGTTTGAGGGTTAATGATATTGTCAGATACGTTTTTTTACTATAAATGCACATAGGGAAATGACTAAGATACCCCCCAAAAAAAAAAGAATCAAGATATACATTAGGCCTAACATTTCAGTGAAAATCTTGTAATTTGCAGACGTTTATTTCCACGTTCCTTTAAATTTATTCATTTCTGGTTCTAAGTCAAATGTGGACAAAAACTTGTTTCCTACAAGTCACTGCCCATGATGCCTTTCGTTCAATACCAGAACTTGTCATGAGAAAACCGCGATAAAAGATTTCCTGAATAAGACTAAATTAAGGGAAGCAAAAAAAAGCTTGACTTAATTACTGTGATTGTTGTGTGTGTACACTATATTTCACAGAACCAAAAGCAACAACAACAAGTGGGGTAAACTCCCCATTGTCAAAATCGTTTTAACATAACGTAATCAATGGGTGGGGGCAAAAGAGTTTGACTTTATTGTCGTCTCCATACTATATCTCACAGAAGAAGAAAAAAAACAAAACAAGTAGGGTAGCTACCCCCCCCCCCCCGTATATGGTTTCAACATTATTTAACATAAGCATTATATATTATGGAAAATAAAACTCCCACGATAGAATAATTTCAACTTCTGCACTTTTGAACGGTTTCTAGCAGTATAAGTCCGTAGACATACCGCCATGCCACTAGGGGGCGCGCCAAAAAGTAAAAAGGTTTGTTTGTTTGTAATTAAGCACAAAGCTACACAATGGGATATCTGTGCTCGGCCCACGACGGGTATCGAAACCCGATTTCTAGCAGTATAAGTCCGTAGATATACCGTTATGCCACTAGGGGCTGCGCAAAAAAGTAAAAAGGAAGTGTTACATAATTAATTCTTAGTTTCATCTGGTGTTACTTATTTAGTTGCATATACGTTCTAAACAACTATAAGTAAACATATTTCTGTAACGTTACCAGAATCACTTCCCTTTCAACATTTTTTGTGGTGCTGTACTAATTTAATGAAAAAAAAAGGAAAAGGGCAGATTAACAGCAAAGATTGGTAAGAATGAACATAATTGTAATTAATTTAAAATGTTTCCGAGTGCATTTTGCCAATGCTGCTTGATCTAACTTGGGTAAATGTTAGTTGTCTATAGTTCTGATTTACTACTTCAAGTCTCTCGGTGGGACGATGATAAGTTTACGAACTTCTAACGCTAAAATCCTTGGTTCGATTCGCCGCAGTGGACACAGCAGATAGGCCACTGTCACCTTACTCTAAAAGAAACACACTCTACTACAGGTGTCATCGCTTTATTAAATCAAGTAGTGACGAACAGTATAGTTATTTAGCACACGTGTAATGTTTTTATACAGAAAAACATGATCAAATGTATTAACAGGATTTAAAACACATGATCAAATGTATTAACAGGATTTAAAACACATGATCAAATGTATTAACTGGATTTAAAACACTTTTTAAACTTTTATTTATGGATAAATTTTGCGTAGTTTGTACGTTTATCGTTAAGTATAAAACTGTACAATGAGCTATCTGTGTTGTGCCAACCGTGAGAGAATCGAATCCCGAATCTTAACGTTATAAGCCCTCGATTTTCAAAGTGAAGTACAAAATGTTTTCTTATACAGTAAAATATATATCGTCTCAGTTAACCACGCTATTCTACACTTATTCATCATTTTACACGCCAGTGGAAACAGGTATGAATATGCAGATTTTAAATCAAATATACAGTATTTTGTAGATTCAGAAAAAAAAACACCTCTCTATTCCTTACGGAAATTTCGAGTTCAAATATATCCATTATAAGACCTATACGATCCACTTAAATGATTAGATTTATGGAAGGAAACCTAGATAGTCTATTAAAATAAAACATAAAATAAACCTTAGCTATTCATTAGGCTAAAAGAGCGTATAAATTTGGTGAAGAATGTTTCACTTATCCCCTGACATTTTCTTGAAAGTGTGCTTCCATTTAAGAAACAAAATTTAAATTATTTCAACATAAGCTTTTTACAATTGCCATTTAAACCAAGTCTGGGAGGAATCATGTTCAATTGCAGAAAGAAGCCAGTCACTAAAAGAATAACTAGGCTTAGCTTCGTAAGAAAGATTGTGACTGATGAGAAAGCTAAGCCTAAAATAAAATAAAAAGCTGATTACTATGTAGTGATAATTATCTAAGTTTATAATGAAACGAATAATTGTATAACTGATATTGCAACAATTTCCTTTGCAGTTAAATGGATTTAAACTACATTTCCAAAGAAAATGTCAGCTAATAAATGTGATATTGTTCTTCAAGTTTGTTCAGTTTCTACATTTGTTTGACTAATTCAAATTCATTTTATGTTTTATTTTAATATATTATCTAGGTTTTCAAAATCTTATAATCTAAGTGAATTATAATGTAGTTGTGTTTTTGATATAATTAATGTGCTAGTGGGTTTTAACGTATAATTCTCAAAAGCCAGACTGTTATTAAAGAAATTAAATATACTTATTTATATTTCCAATTTTTTAGTGTGACACACTTTCGTGAGTTCTGGCTTTAATCAGTCATATTTCCTGTAAATCTATATAAAAAATACAACTTTGGAATAAGCTATTCAAGTTTAAGAAATTGACGATTCGTTGCATTCTAATCACTGTGAGTTTTTATTTAATTTCATTGTATAATTCCAGTTAGCTTTATCAATTACTGTGTTAATATTGATTTCTAATCTATTAAGTCAGCTTACTTTGATGAGACGTTATTCGTAAAAACAGGTTTAAACGGAGCGGGATATGTAGTCATTCAAATTGATTTTTCAGCGTGCTGTTCAATTTCTGTGTCACCTTTGACACTTTAACCAACCTCGGAAGGTTCTGTTTGACACTTTGACCAACCTTGTACGGTTCTGTTTGACACTTTTATCAACCTTGTGCAGTTCCGTTTGACACATTAGCCAACTTTGGACTGTTCTATTTGACAATTTTACCAACCTTGTACGGTTCTGTTTGACACTTTGGCCAACCTTGTATGGTTCTGTTGAATACTATTTATTAAAGTTTTCTTGGAAACTTAGGCTTTATTTATTATATTTAATTGTGGTTAGAAATAACGACTAAAACAGCAACAATATGAAATCTCACGTAATATTTGATATTGCACAATGCATTGAAATGAAATGAAAATTCACAACATTCTTTTGTTGCAGATAATAATAATGGATAAAATTACACTTTTGTATTGATAACTTAACTATATGTGTGTGTGTGTATGTATACGGAGACATTTGTAAGAAATCAAGGTATTTAGTTTCATTTTATAAAATATTCAAGTTACTTGAATGTTAGAGGAATATTATTTTATAAACAATAAAAAATGAGCATTTTTAGATTTTAGGTACAATGATTTTAATACTTAAATACCCAAGTTTAAATGCAGAAAGCAGGTTGTCACTAACTGGATATCCAGGATTATCTTCAGAAAAAAGTCTGGCTGCTATGATGTTATCAAAGCTTAGCTTCAGGAAAATGTTAGTTACTAAGAGGATATACTTAGGCCTAGTTTCAGAAAAGTCTGGTTACAAAGTAGATACCTAGGCTTAGCTTCATAAAAAGTCAGGCTACTAAGTAAATATACCTAGGCCTAGTGTCAGAAACAGTCTTTTTACTAAGCAGATACGTAGGCCTAGTTTCAAATTTGGATACTAGTCTTAGATTCCGAAAGATACAGGTTGCCAAGCAGATAATTAAACCCAGTTTTAGAAGAAGGCTGGTTTTAATTAAATATCTAAGTTTAATTTTAGATTGGAATTGGTTACCAACTAAGATGCCTACTCCTAACTTCAGGAGAAAACTAAGACAGCTAAGTCTAGTTTTCCAGTGGATCAGCGGTATGTTCACAGACTTACAACGCTCAAATCCAGGACTCAATTCCCCACGATGAACACAGCGCAGATAGCCCATTGTGTAGCTTTGCCCTAAAACAAACAAACCTACGCCTAGAATTTAAAAAAGGTTGGTTACTAAGTAGTTTTAACTGTGAACCTAAACTCTATGTATTAGTTTGGATATGAAATGTATTCACAAGGAGTGAAATTGAATTAGCTGCTGAATATATTTATGTATTGTAATGTCATGAATAAAATGTTTATTGAAGTGTGTTTAACCAGTCAGGAAAAAAATGAAATGAACACCACCACCGTGAGGATGAACCAATATTGATTTTACAGCATGATTTATGTATGCATCAGCTTTGAAGCTCAACATCTTCAGGGTTTATTTTGTTTTTCCAAATATCATAAACGATAAGGGAATTTATTATATTTTCACTTTTCTAAGTTCAATAACAACATGTAAACAGTTATGAGTCTATGGTCTCTAAGGCACGAGGTTTACAGATCTCGCTTTATTTCAATACTCCAGAGCTTGGCACTATGGAACTGTTGTCTTCTCGATGAGAGGACATGGTTGAAGTGATTCGTACCGACTCAAAGTAGTTAACGATCACTAACCTTGCCCTGAATCGGTACAAACCGCCCCTAAACCACGCAGTGTCAGCCGCCCTTGGTACCGAAGTGCATGCAAAAGAATGTATTCGGTAAAAATATAATCAAGTAATATGCAACACTTAAAGAAACTGACAAGAGTAAAGTTTGGATAATGCGACTTTATAATATCGTACACCCTTCAAAAGAAAGAGAAAATAATTACTAACTCATACTTATTTTACAATACCTCCCAAAAATGTTTTAATTAACCAATATTTTAGGAAATAATAAGATTACTTTTTTGAAACACAATACAATAAATTTACAATGTTTTTTTTTTAACTTACTCAAGTCTTAGGATTTCAAAGCTCTTCAAAATATCTGTTTTTAATCTAGATCAGTGGTTCTCAAACCTTTTCGTCTGACCACCTACCTTCGCTCGATGAAGGTTCTGGCCTGTTCTTTCGTATGACCTCGGCCATGACGTTGCGCGTCAGTGATTTGCATTTCCGACCAACCCACGAACCACCTGGAGGGCCCTTAAGGACCACCATTGGTCTACTGAGCACATTTTGAGAACCACTGAGAAACAAATGTAAGGTGATGGTTGTAGCCATAATGTCTGTAACTTTTTTAACGTTTAAGAAACGAGTTGAACCATATATAAAACGCGAGTTAGGCTAGAGTTAGTTAATGATATTGTTAGAGTGAATTAATATGTTAGTCAGTTATAGGTTTGTCTGTTACTGTCAGTTAGTTAGTTAGGTCAGTGGTATAAATATTGGGTTTCTGTTTCCATAAAAAATAGATACAATAGTAGCAAGTAAGTGGAATTTCTGTTAAATGAAGTTTGTTTGTTAAGTCAGGCCTATTGGTGAACTGTAGAATTTAAAGTTGAATAAATAAAACGTTTTAGTTATCATTAGGAGGATTGAACTTTCTATTATTCTTTTCACCCAGTAAGCCCAATAAGAAATACCATCACAACAATCCGAAATGACATCTAAAGTTTGACCTTAGAGAAAGAGCGTTTTCGTGCATATATCTCTGAAACAGGAAATAAAATATCTAAATATATATTCAGACTAACTTGGACCAAATCTCACACTTGGTAAAAATAAAATCTCTTAGCTTTTCTCTTTCAGGCCCGGTATGGCCAGGTGGTTAAGGCGCTTGACTCGCAATCTGAGGGTCGAGGGTTTGAATTCCCGTCCCACCAAACATGCTCACCCTTTCAGCTGTGGGGGCGTTATAATGTGACGGTCCATCCCACTATTCGTTGGGAAAAGAGTAACCCAAGAGCTGCTTTCTCTTTCACTGCTAAATTAGAGACGGCTAGTGCAGATAGCCTTCGTGTAGCTTTCCGCGAAATTAAAAAAAAACAACAAACAAACAATCTCTTTCAGTCTTTCTTTATAAGCTAAGAAGCGATATTTCTTTTTCATTAAAGCTATTCGTCGATTATACATTTCTTTTCGAACATACAGCAAAATCAAAACACAAGAGATTTTCTGCCCAATTTTCCAGTCGCTCAGTGCATTAAAATGAGAGCTTTGTAGGTATGTATCTCAGTATTTTTATCCAGCTAATTTTTCCCACAGTTTTTGAAATGGCAAGGCCAAATTTAGCAGGCAGACTCGGATGGTCCGCAGGGTGCCCTTATCTACGTGTCATAGCTCCTAAAACACCCCTAGAAGGTCACTCAGGCATGACGATGGACCAAAATTAGGTTTTAAGGGCCGCTGAATCCGAATCTGCCTATGGATTTTGTGTTCTTGACCCCCTTTTGCGATTTTGGGGGTGTTATGGTAAAACTATGTTCATACTTTTACTCACATACTAAAAGGATCGAACTTAGCACACGTGCTCAGGTATCACGGGCAGGTGTCTTAATGATTTTTTCCCGGTAAGAACCCCCTTGGAATAACTACATAAATAAGTGGGGATAATGGAGGAGCTTGATCGTTACATTGGAGTCTCTGCGAGTCATGATGGGGGCCTATGTAACCCCGCAGAAAAGCGCGGGTATTCTATGTTAGTCACACATTAATTCAGCCTATAGCTTTGTACATATTTATACACAGCTAACTTCTCCCACATTTCTAGAATTAGCACGACCAAACTTGGCAGGCGGAACTGGGATGGGCCGGGGGGTGTCCTTATAAATATGGTGTTGCTCTCTTGGTATGGGGCTAAGACGCCCCAGGCATGATGGGATCTAAGATCGGGTTTCCAGTATCCCGGAGCGCCATTTTTCAAACTGTGTTCACATCCTCATTCTTAATCTAACCGGACCAGACTTGGCACAAGAGCTCAAGTGCCACGGATGAGTGACCCAACGGACCCTTTTCAGGTAGCTATAGAAGTAATTGGATTTCGTTTGTTTTGAATTTAGCGCAAAGCTATACGAGGGCTATCTGCTCTAGCCGTCCCTAATTTAGCAGTGAAAGACTAGTGGGAAGGCAGCTAGTCATCCCCTCTCACCGCCAACTCTCGGGCTACTCTTTTACCAACGAATACTGGAATTGACCGTCATATTATAACGCCTCCACGGCTGAAAGGGCGAGCATGTTTGGTGAGACGGAGATTCGAACCTTCGACACTCAGATTACGAGTCAAGCGCCCTAACAAACTGGCCATGCCGGGGCCAAGTAAGTGGGGTGATGGAGTAGCTTGAGCAGTACATTGGGACCTCTGTGAAATCCGAAGCAGGGCGTGGGTATCTTATGCTAGTTAAACCGAGAAACCCATTTATTGGTAAAAGAGAGTACGACTGGAAAATGGGAAGTTGGTAAACTATACGTAGCAACTTTCGTTTAGATATCTCTGAAGTTATTGTTTACCATCAGTTACTTAACTAGTGTATGGTCCAGTACTTATCCGTCTTGGTATGCGTGTTTCTAAATCCATGCTATCAAACAGAATCAACAAGCTATGAAATAAACTTAAAAGTAGAAACTTATTAGTCGAACTGGCAGTATAGTTTACTTCGGGGTTATTTGAAGTACGAAAAATCCTATACTGCCTACATTTCCATTATCTAAGGCTTACTTTCTAGTCTAGTTTTATGTATTTAAAGCCTTAGACATGCTACAAAATTATTATCTAAAGTTTACCTTCTACCATGATTTAGCATGTAAAACCCTAGACAGACTGCAGTAACATTATCTAAAATTTACCTTTTACCCTACCTAAGCATGTAAAGCCCTAGACAGACTGTAGTATCATTATCTAAAGTTTACCTTCTAGCTTACTTAAACATGTAAAGTCGTAGACAGACTGCAGGACCGTTATTTAAAGTTTATCCTCTAGCCTAATATCAGACACGTAAAATCCTAGACAGGCTACAGGTACATTATCTAATGTTTACCTCCTAGGCTAATATTAGATACGTAAAGTCCAAAACAGGCTACAGGACAATTATCCAACGTTTACTTCCTAGCCTAATTTTAAGCAACTAAAGTCCTAGACTGGCTAAAGATCCTTTATTCAAGGCTTACCACCTAGCCTAAATATTAAACATTTAAAATCTTAGACAATCTATAGGTTGAATATTCAAGTTTATACTATCTAATCTAATAGTAATATTATACATATAAAGTCCTAGAAAGACTTAAAGTTGACTATTCAAGGTTTACCTCCTGAGTGATTTACTTTCTGAGTCCAGATTGTAGGATGCCGAGAAAAATCGTCTTACAGCCAGAATGATTACTCAATAACACTCGAGACCAGAGCTTCATAAGTATATATATATATATATGTGAGGATATTCTTTAGGAATTTAATAAGACAACATATAAAGCTATGTTGATTGGTTCTTGAGAGCATTTGACAAATAAGGTTCTTTGGAAATATACACCCTTTTGTTAATTTTAGAAGCAAGGAGCTCCCTAGAGGGCAGGCTTGCTTTCATTTAGCCGTGGAAGGATTTATTTACTGAATCAATACGCTCGTACACCCAAACTATATATTCCTTCAGATTCGACGGGATCTTTCCAAGCTACAGTAAACATAATTTGAATAACTATTCTCTGGGAACCATAGGCCTAAAATTACAAACAAGCAAATTCAATGGTACGTAATCATAATCATAGAGAAAAAAAAAGCGTCTCTAGGGATTAATACAATCCGTATGAAAGTTAAGCCTAATTATGGTATCTATCTTAAGCGTTCAAATAATTGTTAAAACTGACGTCAAAACAGGAAGTTATTAAAATTTTATTATAACTCGAGATGTTGGGTGGATATTAAAAATCTAAATTTTACTATTTGTTAAAACATCTATATTTGCACGAGGAAAAAACTAACGTTCCTTTTTGTTATAAGAATTGAGTTTTATAGTTTCCATACATTTTACAAAATAAAGACAAAACAAGAGGGTAAAATTGATCAAATACTTTAAGGTTTTGTTTTTCCTTAACACTTTATTTGATTTCAGAACAATGATTTGATTAACGACAGTTTAATGTGACAGATTGCTCTAACCAGAAGTTACTATTAATTTTACTTTACTTGGCATGTAGTTTTTTACTTGACATGAAGTTTTTACTTGACATGTAGTTTTTTACTTGACATGTAGTTTTTTACTTGACATGAAGTTTTTACTTGACATGTAGTTTTTTACTTGACATGTAGTTTTTTTTACCGGACATGAAGTTTTTACTTGACATGTAGTTTTTACTTGACATGTAGTTTTTTACTTGACATATAGTTTTTTACTTGGCATGTAGGGGTATATTCATTACGCTTTGTTTCTTGAACAGAAGGGAAGTGAAAAGTAGAAAAAATAACATTTTTCACTTTCACAAAGACATTGCCCGATATTTTTCATTTTATGGATTAAGTTTGTTTTGTTTGTAATTAAACACAAAGCTACACAATGGGCTAACTGTGCTCTACCCACCACGGGTATCGAAACTCGGTTTCGAGCGTTGTAAGCCCTTAGACATACCAGATATCATATTAATTGGTTAACTTAGGTTACATACAGTGGAACACATTTTGAAACACGTGCTTCTGGAATAGCTAACTTACTCCCACGGTCTTGAAACAATTTGATCATATGAAAATTTTATGTAGAGCTAGAAGACGCCTTAAATGGACTATGGTTCATTTAGTGGAACACATTTTGAAACTCATGCTTCTGGACTAGCTAACTTACTCCCACGGTCTTGAAACAATTTGATCATTTGAAAATTGTATGTAGAGCTAGAAGACGCCTTAAATTGACTATGGTTCATTTAGTGGAACACATTTTGAAACTCATGCTTCTGAAACATTTAACTTTCTCCCACGGCCTTGAAAGAATCTCATCATTTGAAGGTATAGAGTAGACCATGACGGAAAAACATATCGAATTCGCTTCATAAAACTTCGTAAATTGTTGTTTTAATGGAAACCGAAAATAAGAAATATTCGTATTATTATATAACCGAATCAAATCTCAACGTTGTAAACATAGATTAGACAAAAAAATATGTTGTTTAGAAGTTTACGTACAATGTCATCAATATTTAGCACTAATTCGAAAATCAAACAAATGATGTCCGAACAAGATTCGAACGTATATATTAACACTAACCTGGTGAGTACTTTTCATATTTGACTGTCGAAAATTAATACGCCTAGTCATCACATCTTTCGTAAGGAGACAAAACAAGAAATAATCATTTCTTTAGAGTCAATGCTTATGCATACGTTGATTGGTCCAAAGGATATTGTTCCCATCCAATAATAGATCGGCAAGTCTTTTGAACCCAATAACTAGGATCGGAAATCGAAACACGCGCTGAAGCAACATCTCGTCTTTGTTAATACAAAAACAGGAAATAGCTTTTTTTTTTGTTATCAGTTTTCAACACCCTTTTATGGAAGAAACACGTCCTATGATTAATCTCGTGTCTCCAAAATGAAGAAAGAAAACGTTGTGTATGGGAGACGAATTGTTTACTTCATAAAAAAAAAATTGTATTAAAATACACGCTCGGTAATTTAAAAAGAAAAATTAATAAGCTAATAAAATAATGATTGGATCGTCCACCTTTTTCTCACCCTCGTTCAGAGTGTTTACAAATAGGAAATAATGCATTCTGTTTTGTTTTTTTCATATTTGATTACGAAAATAAGCCCCCCCCCCCCCCAGTTGCACAGCCGTATGTCTACGGACTTACAACGCTAGAATCCGGGTTTCGATATCAGTGGTGGGCAGAGCGCAGATAGCCCATTGTGTAGGTTATGCTTAATTACAAACAAGCAAACGAAAATAAAATAACATTTTTTTTCAAAACTTGAATTATGTTAAATCAATCACTGTAAACTCTGTAAAAAAAATATTTATTCTGAAGAAATTATTTATTACAGCAGTGATTCATAATTTATAAGTTTAACGCAAATATTAGAGATTAAGGATGATTCTCCTGATATACATAATTCAGGAATTTGTTTGTTTGTTTGCTGTTAAGCACAAAGCTAAATAACAGACTATCTGTGCTGTCCCCACTACGGGTATTGAAACTTGTTTTTTTAGCGTTATTAGCCCTCACGCTTACCGCTGAGCCACTGGATTGCTCACTTCAGGAGTTAACTAATGATTGTTTCTCATTGGCCCAAATTAAGTATCCTAGCTTAGAAGGGCTTACAGGTGATTGGTTGTTTACATTTTGGTTCCTTATATAGGTTGCACTTTATTGGAATATTTCAATTAGTCTGTGGCAGCATCTTCTAGAAGCTCACTTCAGGAGTTAACTAATGATTGTTTCTCATTGGCCCAAATTAAGTACCCTAGCTTAGAAGGGCTTACAGGTGATTGGTTGTTTACATTTTAGATCCTTATATAGGTTGCACTTTATTGGAATATTTCAATTACTCTGTGGCAGCATCTTCTAGAAGCATGAAAGAAACTGATATTTTTGTTTGTTTGTTTGTTTTGAATTTCGCGCAAAACTACACGAGAGCTATCTGCACTAGCCGTCCCTAATTTAGCAGTGTAAGACTAGAAGGAAGGCAGCTAGTCATCACCACCCACCGCCAACTCTTGGGTTACTCTTTTTACCAACGAATTGTGGGATTGACCGTCACATTATAACGCTCCCTCAGCTGAAAGGGCGAGCACGTTTGGTGTGACGGGGAATCGAACCCGCGACCTGCAGATTGCGAGTCGAACGCCCTAACCACCTGGTCATGATACGTAATCAACCCCAAAGAAAGAAAATCTGACAGATTTAATGAAACTGACGTCCAATTTCTCCCTTATATAGTCACTATAAGACGCATTAGGAAGCACAATGAACGCTTTATTCATGGGATTCAGATTTATTCTTCTCCCGGTAAATGTCTATTTGATATCATACTTGTTATGTGGGATATTATAAGTATCACAAATCACTTAAATATTTAAATGAAAGTGATTTAGTTTCGAAAGAGTTAAATTTACAAGACTTCGGGAGCAGCTTTTCTTAGCTGG